TGGATGGATGGATGGATGGATGGATGGATGGATGGATGGATGGATGGATGGATGGATGGATGGATGCTCAGACTATGAGAGCCTGAGCAGTAAAGGCTCTCTTAATATGTTGTAGAACATAGATATTTAACAACTAAAACTGTTTTCTTGTTAAAAGTTATTCAGTCAGTGAATATCTCATGTTTGCATCCATTTTGTTTGGTCAGCATTTAGAATAAGTTGAAAATGACAATGCTGTTACTGGACTTTATCAAAAGCATGCTGTAAATGTTGAAAGGTCTTAGCAGGAGTAGGTGCTACACAGTATATGACCGTATCATCTGCATAAAAATGTTTGGAATATTCTGTCCCAATAAACCGACATCAGCAGACTCATTTTGGTGAAGGAGTATTTCATTCAGAAATAAACAAAACATACTAAGGAGGAGAGTCCAGAAATCAAGAACCTGATGGTTATGTGATGAAAACAAAGGACACATTGACGGCATGGACTTAAATAACACAGAACAATCAACTGAAGTCAAAAACAGGTCTGGATCTTTACAACCTTTACTTGAATATTACGGTAGAAGTTTTTGGTTCTGTTTTCATGTTATGTTTAGACTTAGACAAACCTTATTGTCATCTTGTACACACAGAGTGTATACAAAACGAAGTTTCATTGCATACAGCTTACAACACTGAATGAGTAGCTTACAATAAGGAAATTAACCTTACCATTTATAAAGTGCTGCAGTAATCAAGAATGTAAACAGTGTAGGAGAAAAGGAAACCAGTTTAAAAGTCATGATGCAAAAGGCATTAATATGGAAACTTTCATTGCCGTGTAAACTAGATATTGTGGAAGATACACTAACATAAAATCTTCTGTAAGTACTTTAAATATGAAATTATTACATATTGTTCAATAAAAGATAAGTGTTTTTAATTAAGAGTAATTTTCCTTTGAATGTGATTTACTGGAGACATCCATGTTTGTCAAAGAACACTACTGCCACCTACCGGTTTGTGACATCATGGTGTTTGTCACAATTATCAAAGTCATCTTGAAAACAGTCTTGTCCGAAATGTTGGCTACATATTACATGTTTTTTTGGCCATACGTTCAATGGCAAATCCTCCATCTTCAAGTTGGCAATCCAACGATGAACCCGATCATAAAGGTGAAATAACTAAATAAATAAAAATTTTTTTGCACTTTTACCAGATGTACTACAACATCCAACTGCCATCTATGTGGGCATTGTCAGTTTAACTAAAGCTCTGGTGAATTTCAATGGTGAAGTCATCTCAAAATCTTAAATATTAGCAGGGAAAATGGCGCTAGGCTTACCGCATAGTGGTGTCACTGCTGGAAGATGTCAGGATTGGGGTGTTAATATATTTGGGCATCAATGGCCGCTCTCGAACTCCTGGAAATTCTTTTTTTATTTTTTTTACTGATTAATGCTAAAATCATTAAATCACTTTAAACATATTAGTTTTAGGTATAAATATTGATCCATTGATTATTCCTTGCTGACCAGATTTTTCCTTTAACAATCTAATATGTTTCTTTAACATATTGATTAAAAAGATGGAATACAGATCAGTGTCAGTTTTCAGATTTTATTATTTTCCTTTAAGTTCACTATTATGCCTTATTCTTTTTTGATATATCACCTAAAATCCCAGCCAAATACATTGCTTGATATGAAAAAAAAAACTAAAAAGATTAATACTTAGGACTGTAAAGATCATAACAGTTCAAACAATGATGCAAATTTGTAAAGAATTTGCTTAATTAAACAAATAAAATATGTTGCACAGGTAATTCAGAAAGAGGAGGGGTCTAAGGTTTATAAAACAGCTTTTAATCTGGAAAAGTCAGCCCTAAGCAGCATTTTCTGTCAGATGATGGAAACGCTGGAGGAAATAGAGCTGTGTGTCCCACAGCTTAACTCCTCCTGCAGAAAGCCAGTTCACTCCCAGACCACAGTTCTGCTCATTTACGTTCTGCTTTCTTCCATCTCCTTCTTCACTGTGGCTCTGAATCTACTTGTCATCGTCGCCATTTCCCACTTCAGGCACTTACAGTGATCTAAAATGTTTATTCTTTCTCTGTAAATACTATAAGTAATTCTTATATGTGAATAGTCTTGCATTGATGTTATAACAGTAATTTCTTTTACTGAATTTACCCATTTAAAAACTAACAATCTCACTTCTTTTTACCTGAATGTTTCTTCTTGTTGTCTCTTTTCCACACAGGCAGCTTCACACCCCAACCAACCTCCTCCTTCTTTCTCTGGCTGTCTCTGACCTCCTTGTGGGCCTTCTGCTGATGCCGGTTGAAATAATCTACATAGAAGCCTGCTGGTTTCTTGGGGACATTGTGTGCACTCTCTATTATATTGCAGACTACATAATCACCTCTGCTTCTGTTGCAAATATGGTTTTGATTTCGATCGACCGGTATGTTGCTATCTGTGATCCTCTGCATTACCCTACCAAGGTCACTAAGAGCACAACACAGGTCTGTGTGAGTCTATGCTGGATTGTTTCCGTATTCTACAGGCTACTTCTTTTACAGGATCATGTGGTAAATCCAGGTGTGTCTGTCTCCTGCATTGGAGAGTGTGTAGTTGTCATCAGCAACATTGCAGGGATAATTGACATGGTTTTCACATTCATCATGCCAATTACTGTCATCTTATGTCTGTATTTCAGAGTATTTGTTGTTGCTGTGTCCCAGGCTCGGATGATGCGTTCCCAAATTTCAACGGCACCTGGCAAGCATGGCTCTGTAACTATGTGGAAAAATGAGATGAAAGCAGCCAGAACTCTTGGTATTGTTGTGGTTGTGTTTTTGATTTGTTTCTGTCCTTACTTTTTTCCATCTCTGGAGGGTGAAGACACTTCTGTCAATGCTTCTTCTGCAGCCTTTGAGATTTGGCTCGCACATTTTAACTCCTGTTTAAACCCTGTCATTTATGCCTTTTTCTACCCTTGGTTCAGAAAATCTATTAAGATTATTCTCTCTCGTCAGATTCTAAAGCCAGGCTCCAGTAGCATCAAAATACTTCACTGATTAGAGATTTAAAGTGTAAATGAACAAATCAATCCAAAGAGAGATTTTTTCCCCTTTGTCTGCATTTAGGTGACATAGTGGAGTAAAACAATAACTACAGTTTTTTTTTTTTTTTTACCAGGATATGTTAAACTGTACCAGAGGGAAATTTTGATGTTGATCTAAATATTTTCCACATCTGCAAATTCTATAACCAGAGATGTGGCTCTGCCTAGATATTTAGCATAATGTCAAAGTTGTGCTGCAATCCCAAATATTTTTTATACCCGTGTTAGATTCAGATTAAAATTGTTCTCTAAATTTATCAAATATGTTTTCCTTGGCTTCTTAATATTTATCACAGTTAGAGGCCTAACTTTAACCTGATAAGAATGTATGAAAAAAAAACAAAAAAGTTAAAGTGATGGTAGGGACAGTGTTGTGCATGAACGTGTTCATTGAATGGTGTTCACTTAATGTCACGATGGGGTGAAGGTTAGATAGGACCAAAATGCAGACACTGAAGCTGAAATGGTTTCTTGAAGATTTAACAACAAAAAGGGTAACAAGCAAAAATCAAAAAACATAAATCTGCAAAAACTGAGAACCAGGAATACTCACAACAAGGGGGCAAAGAAATGATGACAAACCAGCAAGAGTGACTGAGCAGAAGGTGCATGTATGGGAGAGAGAAACAAAGGCTACGGTCACACTGCAGGCCTTAAGGTTCAATTTTTTGGGTTGCCGTTAACATTTCCAAATATATGCGACTTGTATGTGATCTCCTGTGTAAACTGCAGTCATACAATGCAAGTGTCCTGCATGCACAGTAGAGGGTGCAGTGACATCACAGGCCAGCGTGCTCTGTGTTTAAGGAATTAAACATGGGTGGTAGCGCATCTAGTGATCTTTCCCAACAATAAAACACAATCTTTTCAAGATTGCTAAGCATAAATACTGCACTCCGCATCATTGTCTGCCATGGTTGTGTTTTTTTTTTCTTGCAGCTTCTTCCTAGCAAGACCCAGAATAGTGACCTTTTTTGGTTATTAATGGCGTTCAGGACGGATGAATGCGACGTTCAGACACAAGTCACATTTGAAAAGATCAGATTCGAATTGGATTCAGGACCACATAGCCAAGTGGCCTGGGTCCCATTTGAAAAAATCGGATCTGTGTTGTTCAGACTGCCATGAAAAAATCAGATACAGGTCGCATATGGGCCAAAAAAATTGGATTTGGGTCACTTCAGACTGCAGTGTTAACGTAGCCAAAGACCAGGCTAATTAGCAGATTGGGAGCAGGTGTGAACAGAGGAATCTAGAAAGGAGCTAGGGAAAAGGAGACCAACACAAGAGGGCAAACAAGAAATACCTTAGAACTCAAATACATCCAGACAACACATCAAAATAATTAAACCAATAAGACTAGAAAACAAAGAAAAACTGAAAACTTTTTTAGTTCATCACTCTGACACTTGTCAGAGTGATGAACTAAAAAAGGAACACTCAGACAGAGAAAAAACTAAATTTTGTATGCAACCTGTGCCCACCAGGACTTTACAAACAAGTCCACATACATTTCAAAAATGATCTAGATATAAATAAAACAAATTTTAAATTAAGTGTATTTGTCCTTATTTTAGTTGGCGAATAAGAGGATATGCCAATGAAATGGAAAGAGAAGATAATATTCGCTGGAAATAAGACATTGCTATTGTTTTTTTCTTATCTTAAATGTAAATTGTCTTGTTCCATTGTCAAAGTGTCTCACTTACTTCCTCAATTCAAGACAAAAGGCACTTAATTTAAGAACATTTCAATTCAGATTTAGATTTCAGTTTTTTGCAGTAAACATCAGCCACGTTCAATTGAAATTTAAAGCGACACATCGAGTTAAAGCATTTGAGCTATCTTGGAAAATATCTGCTACTGAATGAGAAATGTAAGAAATCATCTTTGATCCAGATCTTTTCAGCAGAACTTGAATGTCCCTGTATGTTTCTAAAGTTCTGTGTAATTTGGCTAAATAAAGGCTTTACTGCACATCCAGTTTACCTTGACTGCATCCAGTATTTTCCATTTCTTTCTATATATTATGATCACACATTTAAAGGACGAAATATGAGTTTCTATTGAGTAAGATTGTGGCTTAAGTTAGCAAATGAACTTCAACCTGTTCATTTATAGGTTTGTAAAGTTAGTTAATTCATTTAAAAAGCTAACTATGAACATGAGCTAGTTCATTTTCATCTGAGTGAACTTTGAGCTTGTTCTTTTTAACCATGAACTGGCACAACATATTTTAGGAACAGATTGTAGGAACATATTGTAGGAACATATTGTACAATAACTTTTCAGACTGAGAAGTTGAAGGGAATTCTTACAATACTGAAAAAAATAATGCAGCGGTTTTTGGCATTTACTTAATCATATTTAGTTACTTTAACACAATTGTTTCATGTTAGAAGGGCAGGACATAAAATAATTCAGTTAAAGTAACTAAAATGCCAACCATAAATGCCAAAAGAGGTTGCATTAATTTTTTTTCAGTACAAGTCTTTTAAAATGTTTTTAAAGGTGTGTAAATCTTATCAATTCCAAAAAGCAAAATTGCAGTCAACCTTCCTGTTAAGGTGGCTGGCGCAGAGAAAAGATTTTTAGTTATAATGGCTAAAAACATATCTTAGGTCAACTACGTCTCAGGAAGGCCTCAGTGGCCTTGCATCATCAGGGTGAACCATAAACTTGCCATGCAGATTTTACATGATGACATTATTGATGACTTTGCATCAAGGAAGGCAAGGTGTTAAATTTGCACTTGTACAGTTTAATGGTTATCTATTGTTTGAAAGTAATTGTTTTTTGTTAGAAGTCACATATTTAATGAAGGAAAGGACATTAAGCAACCGTGGCGCAAGTCTTTTTTTATGCGAAAAACTATTTTATTCTTTTAAAAAAGGCTTGACCTTCCGCCAGTTGTGAAGTGAGATTTAACTTTGTACTTAAGTGCTAGTGCAATTTAGAAAGGCCCAATCTTTGTTGTATTTTTTCAACAATTTTGTATTTGTATTTTTACCCTTACTTATTAATTATTACTGTTTGTTTTTTAGTCTTCATATTGCTTTATAATAGTACAATTTCTTTTTTTTTTCATTATATTTGTTTCCAAATTTTCCATTTCATTTTATACTTTTAACTTGCACAGCAGTATTGTTTATTTTTGTGTTGATGGGTTTGTTTAGTGTTATATGTATTTTGAAAATAAAACTAAAAAGAAGTCCTAAGTGTGCCTAGTGATGGTTTCAATTTGAACTTAAGTCCTGTTACCCTGACCTGGCTTGGATTCCTTCATGTTCTCCGGTTCTGTAGCAACTGGGATATTCTAGGCGGTGCACGCCACATCTTTTTGGCAGCCCTCTGGCTAGATCCTATCTATATTTCTGGAGATGGACTGAACTGTTAAATTAGGTAAGTGACTTAAAGGTTTAGTGGAGGAGTTTTGCGAATTTTTTAAAAGACCCGCCCTCTCTTCTTAAAACAAAAATGCACATGCACAACCCTGTACACGCTCCCGAGAGGGAGCGCCTATTAACCCTTTATAGGGCAAGTTACCATTTTTGATCACTTGCATACCCCTTACAAATAGAGTGCCATTTCTTTTACTCTCAGTGTTTTTAATGAATTTCTTATAGAAGCACTTTTGTTGTTTTTCTTAATATATACGGTCAAGTTGGCGTTTCTTGTAATTATGTTGACATTCATTTATGCAATCAAAATATACTAATTTATTGAACGTTACAAAGGTAATAAGGTCTTGCCCTGGATTCCAATAACACACTACAAAAATGATCTTTAAATATGTGAAAATAAGTGTATTTACCCTTAATTTGAGTAGGTAAATAAGAAAATCTTCCAGCTGAAGGACAATTCTTATCATTAAAACCAGATTATTTGATCTTATGTTCTTGAAATGGGAGACTGCATTTTTTTCCCCTTATTTTACATTTTCTTGTCCATTTGCAAAGTATCTCACTTACCTGCTCAGTTCAAGAAAAAATGCACTTATTTTAAGAAAAACTGACTTACTTAGATTTCTTTTTTTTTTTTTTGCAGTGTACCCTTTGCTCTAAATTTAGATGTTTAAAATCTTTCACTGAATGCCCTATAAAGGGTTAAACCCGTGCGAGAGCATACACTAGTCCATTCCTCCCCGTGCACGCTCTGTTCAAAAGCTGCTGTTCTCATAGCTGATACAAGCTTATTGTGTCTGAACGTCCGCCCTAACCCCTAAAACCCTATAATCCCTATATAGACTGGGGACTATACGTATAGTTGACCTTATAGCGAACTTAGTTAACTGACCATTTAGACAGATGATCACTGCTTTTTGCTCCCCGTTGCTTACGTAACTCCTGAAACTGTAGCTCACCACAGATATATGCCTGAGAGTGTGCATACGCAGGAAAAGATTGCTAGCGGGAAGAGCACGTAGCCTTACATAAACATATCACCAGAATTATTGACAATTAAGAGGACCACTTATTGAGATGATCCACCCAGAAATAAAAGATAGTCCAGTCAACAAGGTCAGTGAGCTCCAGGCACTGGCCATCATCCTGACCTACCTCAGTTGGAAGGAAGGTGGTTTCGGAGTGACATTGTGGCCAAACATCAACTTTCTTCCCAAGGTTCTACCCCAGGGCTACTTGAACTCCGCCATTGAACTGGCGGCCTACTGCCCGCCCCCGTTCCAGTCATATGAACAGAGGTTGGCGAACACACTGTTCCCAGTCCGGGCATTGCAGCCCTACATCCCAACTATTGTGTTTTAATAAGGGTCAATCACATTGACATTACAACAAGTGTGTAATTAAGGTTTCTTTCTCCTGACAAAAAACAGTCATGACCCCATGTATTCCTTGTATGTAATATGGTGTTTTTTTAGTTTATTTTTTTTAGATCTTGGCTTGGTTATGTCATTCTTCATCAGCTCAAAATGAGTATAGGCATGTCCTCTTCTTGCCTGGCATTCCTAGTTTTATTTCTGCAGTAATAGCCAGAATTTGGCAGTTTTTTTTCATCCCCTTCCTCCATTTTCAAACTTTGTTATAAATCTTAATCACCAATATTAACCTTATCTCTCTTATAGAGAGATACAAAGAAGCAAAAGAGGTCACAAAGACTTTCTCCAAAGTTTGCTTTTGCAAAGTAGAACCTAAACCACCTTATGTCCCACTACATTATGAGCTGATCACCTCAGTCTGATTGTAGAAAAATTGCTGATTTACATATTTGGTTAAAAACTGTTGAAAACTGCTCAGCACAGGAGTTAAACTGCAAACTGC